GGTTATTTTTTATTTTAGTTTTTTGGGGGGTCTGATACCATACTTAGAATGGTATGGAGTGTGAAAAATTAACCTTTTTTTCTTTTCTCTTCCTGCTTTACCCACCTTTATGTTTGTTAATGTCAAATTGTGTTAAAATGATATTAAGAGTCATTTTGACAGAGAAAGAAATAGATAAGAAAGAGAGTGTTATAAATATTATTTAAAGCTTGTTTTTTCAGGCTTTGAAAGCAGCTATAGGCAGAATTAGTGTTTCTTTGTTCAAGGCGAGCTTTTTTAAGCATTGCCCTGTTGCCTGAGTCCTAAGGTAGATGTTAATGATCCAATCAAAAACCTCCCTTGAAACAAATGAATGGATGAAAAAAATGAGCCCTGGATAATCTCCTCTGAAACCACTAGATATGCTTTTGGAAGTAGTGATAGGCTAAAGAAAGAAATGAGTTGTGATTTTTAAGTAGTTAAAAGGACTATGGAGGATAGAACTTTTATTTTCTCTTAATCTACTTTGCAAAAATGATAGTGTTGATGGAAACTGAATCACACTCATAGTTTCCTTTTGGATGTATAGCTTGTTTCTAAGGTTGATGGAGAAATGCAAATGCTTATTGTAGATTGAGAAATTTTTTTCTCAAGGGAATTGATAAGATCATAAGAAATGGCTGGCAGATGTTTTCAGACTAAATGTCATAGAATGTTTGAACAGTTTCTAGAATCTTGAAAATCTTTTTTTAATTGTTTTTTTTTTTTAAATTTCAGAATATTATGGGAGTACAAACATTTTGTTTACATATAATGCCTTTGCCTCACCCGAGCCAGGGCTACAAGTGTGCCCTTCCCCCATCAGTGCACTCTGCATCCATTAGTTGTGACTTTACCCACCCCAGTGAATATTACTTCCATGTAAGCACCTTAGTGTTGATCAGTTAGGACCAATTTGATGGTGAGTACATGTAGTGCTTGTTTTTCCATTCTTGTGATACCTCACTTCGAAGGATGGGCTCGAGCTCTATCCAGGATAATATAAGAGGTGCTAGTTCAAATAACAGCTTTATTGAGGTATAATTTATATGCCATAAAGTTTACCCATATAAAGTGTACTTCTTTTTTTAAATTTCAGAGTATTA